CTTTGGGTTTTGTTCCAGGGATCAGGTTTTGGGGTCTTTGGGTGGAGCATCACCTGGGGCTCAAATGTTGGTGCATTCCCCATCCCAAGTGACCTACCCTAAACCAGGGAGATCGTGGAAAGGGGGTTGAACACTCATTTTAAAAATGCTTCCATAATTTTTTCTGCATGGAGAAATTACATGTTGTCAGTGAATTGGTTGGGAATATGACACACAGTGTGGTAATGATATTTTCTTCATCTTTTTTTTTTTTTACCAGGGCTCAACAGTATCCAGGGAAGCAAGTGATAAAGAGAAGGTATGGAACAACCCTGGCCAGCCTTTCTTTCCTCCTGGAGGTTGGAAGCAGATGGGATCCAACTGATTTCCCTTTTCCAAAGGGCTGTTGAGCAGGGGATATAAAACAGGCCCTGAGTTCTAACCTGTTTCTGTCCCACCTTTCAGGCTGTGCCCAGTAACTGCTCAGGGGGAGAAGGTGCTGGTGCTTCCCTGGCACTGCCAGGAGTGGGGGGAACTTTCTGGGGGACAATCCCACCAGTTCCAAACCCCACATTAGAGCAGTGGTGTCTTTATGGAAGGATTTCTCCCTAGAACTCCCTGAATGCCAAACTGAGGCAGGTCAGCAATTGGATTTTCCAGCAGATGCTTTTATAAACCAGCCCAGCTCCTCTCAGACCCTTGCCATGTCTCAGCATGGTCCTAAGACTGGGTTCTGGTGCCAGTCAGGGAACTTAGGACTGAGCATCCTGCCCCTGCAAAACTTCAGCTGTGATGCTGCCTTGAAATTCCTGTGGAAATCTCAGCAGTAACTCTGGTGGTTCTGCATGTTTTGCACAGGAATGTAGGATTTTCAGGTTTAGTCCAGCCTGTCCTAAGATGGGATCTCTGGCACAAGCCAGGGAACGACCCTTTACACCAAAATCTCTGGTGTCACCATGCCCAAGTGTCCCCAACTTACTGCCTGGAGCTATTTCTGCATGTGCAGCTTGTCTCAGACCATTCACACACTCCTGTGTCACTGTAAGAACAAAACCATTTAATTCCCAGTTGCACAAGGGAGTTGTAAGTTCTTCCACATCCCTGAGAAATCCTCAGGGCCTGCTGCGAGTGGATTCCTCAAAAAAAACAGTGGGTTTGATTTTTTTTACTCAAGCCTTTAGGGAAAAAAAGCATTTTTTTTTTTTTTGAGCCTCCATCCCTTTCCCCCGAGTCAGAAGCCAACAGAATGAATTTCTTTTCAGTTCTGGGAGCTGGTTGGACCATCTCAGGCTGGAGCCCAGCTGTCCAGCTCCCAGCCTGCAGCACATCTTCCCAGCAGTGTTTAAAGCTCAGTTGCTCTGTGTCTCCCTTGAGTTTCTCTGCATTCACTGATAATTATTGTGCTCTGCCTGATGCCATTTTCATCTTTAGTGGACAGGATAAGCCACTTCACCTTAAAAACAGCCAAAAGACCCTGGTGCAGCCCCAGAGAGCTCAGAGTCCATTCAGTCTACACATTCCCCTGGACTCAGCACTGGTGAGGCCACCCCTGGAGTGCTGTGTCCAGTTCTGGGCCCTCAGCTCAGG